AATATGCTTTCTATATCCTTTTAAATTCTGTAAAATCTGTGGTAATGTCTCCTAGATCTTGATATTATAATTTCAAAAATGTATAATTGATATTGTGTAACAGGAAGTAAAGGTCTAAAGGAACAGGGGAAGTGGGAGGGGTAGGGGAAAGGAAAAAAGGGAAAAGAAAAAACATGAGCAAAGGAAAAAAATGGAAACAAAGTCTTTGCAAATAAGAAAGGGTGGAGGGGTGAAGGGAGGGCAAGGGAAGGGGAAAAAATAAGAAACAAGAGACTCATGTAATGGTACAAGATACCAATGATGAATGTAACTGTATTTTATACCTAAAATGTACCAATAAGCTCAATGGGAAAAAATATTATACCTCCCAACCTGCTAGATAACCAACATGCTAAGTTTGTGTTCATTCTTGAAGAATGAATTGTAGGAATAATGAATGTTAAGAGTAGGAAGAATTTACCAAGAGAAAGACAGAAGAGGGACTGGAAAGTGAGTTGCTCACCCACCTTGCTTCTCAGAGGTGTTTTATTGAGCAAAGCCATGAGGTGAGGCAAGTACAAGGTAGGACAAAACTACAGTCAACTAATAAGATCACAAGTATTGTCGCTTAGGTAATATTGATCCAATGGGAAATCATGAGGTGGGACAAAACTATGATCAACTAACAAGATTATCACAAGCATAGTCACTTAGATAATATTGATTAGAGATCAAATGGGGAAGCTAGTCACTGAGCAGCAAGTGTATATGGAAGGAACAAGGACTTCCTTGGAAGAAATAGACTAGGGAGATTTTTGTCCCCACCCAAGGTGATTGATACCTATTTAGAGTATCAATCACTGCTGTTCATCACTAGGGGAAGTATGTGAGTGTAGTAGTGCTTCCTTTTTGAATCCTCACCTTTTAGTAAATGCGTCTCAATTGTTTTCTTTGATGAGGGTCCAGCCCTGCCTAATTTCCTTAAAATATTTTTTAACTAACTTAGCTATCTATAATACTAGCACCATTTATTAAAGAAGCTGTGTTTCCTCCAGTGTATGTTTTTTGCTCCTTTGTCAAATATCAAATAGCTGTACATGTCTGGAGTTATTTCTGCTTCTATTGTTTCACTGATCCACATTCCTGTTTTTCTGCCAGTACCATACTGTTTTAATCACTGTAGCTTTATAAAATAACTTCAAGTCTGGGATTGTGATGCAGTCTGCTTTGCTTTGGTTACCCAGGGCTGCTTTTTTGGGGTTTTTTGTCATTTAGTTTATTGGTACATTTTAGGTATACAATACATTTACATTTATCATTGGGATCTTGTACCTTTACATGATGTATCTTGGTTCTTA